ACCCAAATCATTGTTTTCAATCGTTATGAGTCTACCGATTGAAGAGAATTTTATTATAAACAATTATCTTGTAAATGGAATTTTTAAAGCATTCTGAATATAAAAATAAAGAAAAAAGTGTGCAAGACAATAAGAAACACTACCTTCCAAAAAAGAAGTGAAGTTTTGTTGAAATCGGTTGAAAAATTTAGGAAATCCGATCCCATATATAAATGTACACAGACACACTCATAAAAACAACCTGGGTTTTATAATAAGTATAACTCGATATGTGTTGTTCCCCTTTTATTCCCGTAATGCCTCTTAATTGTGTTTTCAAACTGATTTTGTACAAAAACAATTGTGTTTTTTCCAATTTTTGGCGCTGTCAGAACCACCGCAAGGTAATTTTACGTAGTCCTGTGAAGTTTTGTTGAAATCGGTTGAAAAATGTAGGAAATCCGATCCAAAATATAAACGTACAGACACACACACACACACACACACACACACACACACACACACACACACACACACACACACACACACACACACATACACACACAACCTGGGTTTTATAATAAGTATGATTTATTTATTCTTCATTCTCTTTATTTCTGTTTGATTTATTTTTCGAATTTTCATTTCTTTTTTTAGTTTTCTTTGTTTACTGCCGGCTTTGGCCACAGAACTTTATTTTTATTTTACTGGTTTGACTAAATTCAATCCAGACTTCTGTATTTTTATTTGTTTGCATTTTAGTTTATTTTGATTTTGAGTTACCGTGTTTAAAAAAAAAAGTTCATGTTTTTTTTATTTTGAAACGTTTACTTTGTCTTTCTTGTCGTACTTAGTTTTTCAGTTTTCTCCGCGGCTTTTTGACGCCATCTTGATTTTAATTTCTTCTTTTATTTCTTTTTTTGTAAACGTTTTCTGTATTAACTACATATTTGAACTAGCGTATTTAATCTAATCTCTATTTTGTTCTTTATGTATTATCAGTTTATTATTTTCAGTCCTTGATTTCTTTGCTACTTACTTTCCTCGATTTTGGCCAACTTATTTTTTTCTTTTTTGGATTAACGTTTAGTTTCCCCATCTTCTCTTATTTACTAGCTTTATTTCATAACTTTATTGTTTTCCTTTTTTTATCTCCTTTATAATTGTTAGGGGACCTTACCCATAAGAACATAATGGACTAGCCCATACGTAATGAATACTGCGCCTCAAGAGGAAGCAGGGAGTTCTGACTGAAGTCTGGAGTGAAGTCCGTCAGGAGTCTGTCAGTCAGTCAGAGCGAGCGAGTCAGTCAGTAGAGTCAGAGGCAGTCCGAAACAGAGTCATGCTCAGACAATTACTACTAAACCTGATTGTTCTTACTAGCACTTTCTACTTCTCTGTATATATTCCTGTTTGCAATATATCTGTGTTATTCCATACCTGTGTTCGAGTTCTTCTTTATTGGTTCTACCTTGGACTATCAGAGTGGTAAAAGGAACCGGACCATAACAATATTTTTTAACCGTTTTCGGGTTAATTTTCTTTTTTCCGTTATCATACGTAGTTTAACTAACTTTGTTCTTTTTTTCGTTTTATTCTATTCTCTCTTTATTTTCTTCCCCTCTCCTGTTCATACTGTTTACTTTTATTTAGCTTCTTCTATTTTGATAGAAACGTTCCCTCCTCTCCCTCCCTCTCCCTCTCCCACTCCATTTTCTCTTTGCAAGTTTGAAAAAAAAGAGAAATTTTCCGCCTACCTGTTTAATAAATGACCGACTCTATCGGAAGAGAGCTGTTTAAGACAGCTTTCGAAAATCTACCACCAGACAAAGATGATGTTTCAGTGTACCCGGAATTGAAGAGTCGCGATGAAAGCACTCCAGATGTTAAATAGGAAAATAATGGAAAAATGTCGACCCAGGAGTTCAATAATGGTGAAAAAAGCAAGAATGTGGCCAACAAAAGTTGGGAGGCAAATACTACCCAAAACGTGCCCCCAAATGCGCACAGACCAGAAATAGTCACATGAAAATATCTATGGAGACCAATATTGGTCAAAATGCTGATGACATCACTGACAAGAATCCAAGTGCTGAAGCCGGGCAATCGCCCTTTCGTCAAAATCCGCTCCGAAATGCATAATCCATGTTGCAGAGTTTTTTGTGCGAGTGAAGTGTTACGCGCACCTTGTCGTAGAAGGCGGACTCTTAGAAGATACCCAAGAACTAAAGAAATTCGAAAGATGAATAGTGTCAGTTTTCGGTGTCGACAAGCATATGCGCAAAATTGTTTGTACGTTGAAAGGCACAGTGGTAAAATAACTGGAGTCCCTGAGGTGTTAAGCCACTAAAAATAATTAAGGGTGCCAGCTACTTCATGTGGGATGTATTTCTACGCAAGCTGGAAGATTGCGTAAAGGCATCATGCAGCAAATTAATCATGAAAGATCTCGTCTTGCGTACAGCGTATGAAGGCAGGCATCGGACAAGTAGCAATATTCAAGGTTCCTTCTCATGTTATCTGGGAATATCTAGCGGGGTTTCTTACCCAGTATGGGTGCTTCCTGCGATAGACTGACTGGAGGATGGAGTTTTGACCTTGCTGGATATAAAAGCATTCCTTTACATTGTGACCAGCCGCAAACCGGTGCGCTGGAAGTGTGGAGAAACTGGTCACTTCTCCTCTTATTGCCCAAAGAAGAAGGCCTCTGGAAGTCAATTTCCGATCTACCAAGATCGACCAAGATCCCCTCTGACCGAGTCTTTAATTTCCGCCACACCTGTGATGGGCATGCAAGCATCTAGGAATGGTGTTGTTAAGCCCCCGGTTGGGTCAAGTTCTTAGCCCCCATTCCCAGAAAAGCTTTCTCCAGCTGCTAATGCAGTTGTGGAGAAGGGAGATGGGGAATGGCTGGTAGCTGGCAGGGTCAGGGGTAAACGCCAGACAGCGGGACCTCAGTCCCCTGAAGCTGCGGAGACTAAAGACACGGATAGGCTCACTGTCTCTATCAACGTTATGGGCGACGCCCCGATCTCAAATTTAACTCGGAAGAAGGATCTACAAAAAATTATGACACTGTACGTTAAAAGACAGGTATCCAAACTAATCAAAGAAAAACTGGATAAAAAGCCTTTCGCTTGCTAAAAAGGCACCTCTACTGCGTTCTGTCCTTCACAACAGAAATAATCTTCAAAGCAACCCCCTCAGATAAGATCCCAGCCCATTCAGACTAAACTCCTTCTGTACTCCTCATCCTAAAAAGACACATAAGCCCTTCATTAGAGGCAAATGACAAGGAAAAAGACTAGTATATATATATATATATACTAGAGAGGCTATTGACAATCATAAGTACTGGGTCGGAGGCAAGCTTGGACAAAGTTGGACAAGGCCATTATCTCCTTTATGATGTCACCCCCAATTGTCCTCGTAGAAAATGAATAGTTAAAGGAATTAACACCCTATTGTGCAGGAAGGTTACCAGTTTTAGTTCATCCATCACTCTGTAAAACATTCAAACTGATTATTTCCTTGGGATATTGGCGGTCTCTCCCATGACGGTACCATCAAGAGTGAGATGGACTAAGGTCCGATGGGGGCGGCTGTCGGTATCCTTACCCCAACCAGCCGGTTGATGCTGGTTAGGCTTTAAGGATATTGGGGTTGCTGATTTGAACAATTGCAAACCCGCCCGTAATATGTTAGACTAGGTTGTTTATTTTTTCTTAGTTTCTTTCTCTTTAGACAAGTTAACTTAACTAGATTATGTATGCTCATTGGCCCCTTTTATTTCTACATTATTTTTTGCTTTTGTTTAATTCTCTGATTGGTGCGGGATGTTTTTCATTTCGGGTGTGATTTTCGTAGTTGTTGTGTTTGAATGAATGTGTGTGTTTGAGTGAGTGCATGGCATGTAGGAATATTTCATATTTTTAAAGGCCCACATCAATTCCATCCAGTTAACTGATATTTCTGCCACATTTAGTAGAATCTTTTTGTTATTACTAACACTATTTAGTTTAGTTGCTTGTATATAGTTTTTATACATATTGTTAATACTCATTGGGGTTATTAGAATTTTACTTTTTTTATTTTATTCCCTTACCTCTACAGACAATGTGTTATACATACGGGGTCTAGTTAGGACCCATTGAGTCCTACATTGAGTCTCTGTGGTATTGTGGTGGTCGTAGTAAGAATGATATGCAAGAATGTGGCGTTTTGGTGCAAGGGTTATTGCAGTATGTCTGGATCAGTGTTTGCAGCTAAGTTTAGTTTTTAAGACAAGCGAATACCAGCCTTCCCCTTCTCCATTTTAGGCCCTGTTCCGCATTTGTAGTTTCATGTACATTAAATATTATCACCCTCCGAATCACTTCGGAAGTGTACATGTCAAACTCTCTGCTCTAAGCAGAGACGAACCCCGACGAGGCTATGACGAAGTTCAGTCTCGTCTGGAGTAATAGATAGCTACCCGACCCCGTTTTTACGGGATTTGCAGGTAATTTTTGACCGGGCCTACGGGCTCGCATATCCTACATTAAACTTGGCCTTATACTGCATCCGACCGCGTGGGGTGGTAGGTGAATATTTCACTCTTCGAATTACTGCTAGAACTCTCTGCATCCGGACAGAGAAGAACGAGGTGATAGACAGCTACCCGACCCCGTGTTTACGGGGAATTCTTGACCGAGTCTACGAACTCTGATACTCCACAATAAAATTGGCCTTGTGCCGCAACTGATTGCGTGTGGCAGTTAGTGAATATCGTCACTATACGGATTACTATTCGGATCATTATTCGGTGGTTACTAATCGAGCGAGTATTATCGAGCAAATACTATTAGTGCGAGTGTTATTCGAAGGCGTCTGACACCAGTATTGTTCATCGGCGTTACTATAGTTGTATATGACATTTCAACGTCTCTACTACAACGAGCATTACAAAAGTGAAAACGAGTATTTGTTGACATTAGAAAAGTGACAACGAGTGTTCGCTGACATCACAAATCAAATCATACCGCGATTTCTCGAATTGATTGGCAGCCAGTCTTGAAGAAAGAAATCTCTGGACTCACACCGGTAACGTGAAGCTATACGAAGATATTCCTCAAGAGGAAATATGTCTTGGCATATTGCCAACAACCTATGCTCCGTAAACAAAAAGGTCATAAGGAAAGATCGGCTAATCTACATAATGAATTTGTGTAAATGGAGAGCAAAACAGGAAAATAGGAATAACAATAAAGAGTCAAACATTGCTTGGGTCTACAAATGCGTTACTGAATGACGAATAACCAAAACGGAGGTTGGAAATGAAATGGTAATCTTTATAACATCAACAAAATACAATATTTACTAGCGGCGTGAATTACGTAAGCCACTGTTAGTGGTTGACTACTTAGCATATTACCCGACTTACAAGTGTCCACCTTATTTATGAGGATTGGAAACATACCCATTGGTATTCATAGGAACGGTATATAACAAAATGTAAAGAAAAAGTTGTTGAAAGTCGTTGTCGCCAACATCCTCATTGACTAATTGATTTTTTGTTTAATGGCATATCAGCATCCTTATGGGTCATTTACTGCCTAAATTTAATTTACTTGGGAGATTTGAAGTAATACAAGTATGATATATGTTATTCTGCTTTTACAGTTTAATACATGGTAGATGATACTCAGCTTCTGTGCATATACATGTTTGTGTATACTACAGGCGGTGATATGTGTGTTTTATGTTGCATTATTAGGAAGTTATATTTTGGAATATAATTTGATTTCTTTCAGAAATTGTAGGATATTATAGGCATTAATTTCATGAAAGAATTCTTTCATCTTGTTTGTTCCATTAGTTGATTTTGGTTGGGTTTGGTTGGTTGGTTGGTTTGCTCTTTGAAGGCATATCACTCTCTATGGGTTATTTAATACCTAAAATTTACTATTTTATACATAATTTTATATTTTCAACGGCAGATAAAATATATTGTTACTCATTTTGCTATCAAACGTATCGGTGGTTATTCTACTATATATAAGTACTGTTGGAAATTTTACTATAAAAATGATTTTTTATACTTTCATAGTTTTGCCTTGGAGGACATTTTTGCCCATAGCTGGGATCATCAGTGGTTCCACTTTCATCAAATTGTCCAATCTCCAGATTAGAGACATTGCTGCCTCATGTAGCCCCCATATCCTTAAATGATGCAATAAATTAAAAGTAAAAGATGCTACACGAGTCATTCTGGGATCCATGAAACTGCTGGACTTTGGATGGGAAGGTTGTGGGGGGGGAGGTTACGGGCAATTTTCATTCCTATCCCGGATATACGCGCTCGGGATCCCTGCATTAAACTGACCTTTTGTCACAACCTGGCCTCGTGGGGTGTCAGTAAATTACTCTCCCGGGTAGTTTTTATTGTTTTGATAGATAGATAGATAGATAGATAGATAGATAGATAGATAGATAGTGTTATGGGACCTTGCCCATAATAACATAATGGACTATTCCATACGTAATAAATACTGCGCCTCAAGAGGAAGCAGGGAGTTCAGTCTGAAGCCGGACGCCCAGCTGACCGGCTGATCGGTTGAACTCTCTGCTTTAGGGCGGGGAGGAACCAGAACGAGTCTACGCCGAAGGGCGGAGTCTCTTTCGGGGAGGTAAACCGACCCTGAACCCGTTTATACGGGTTCAAAGGGCATATTTTTAGCCGAGCCCACGGGCTCGGAGAACCACGTTAAACCGGCCTTGTGCCACATGATGCCCTCGTTGGGGTGGTGACTAAATACTGTTCAGTCCGAAACAGAGTCGTGTTAAGACAATTACTACTAAACCTGATTGTTCGTACTAACACTTTCTACTTCTCTGTATATATTCCTCTTTGTAATACATCTGTGTTATTCTATATCTGCCTTCGAGTTCTTCTTTATTGGTTCTACCTTGGACTAACACCGTCGTACAAGGAATCGGGCCATAACAGATAGATAGATAGATAGATAGATAGATAGATAGATATGGCCAAACTGACATATACTTGTAATAGTCGAATTATTTCTTCAGATATTACATTTTTTAAATCGCAATTTTGCGACATTCCTATAAACTTAGAAACTAATATATGTTTAAGTATCTGGGCACCAGCAGAAAATCTGATGCCAAAACAAACACGGCTTTTTAGAATCTAAATAAAATGATTCATAAGAACCTCCATGCTTTTAGCAGAACAAATGAACGAAGTACTCGAAATGTGAATGATAAAGATTTAAAATCTAAAATAACGCCAAACTTATTTGTCTTTCAGCTGTTTATCACTGAAAGAATAAATGGGATGGCAGTTTAAGTAAATATTTGTATTCGAAAGGGTTCATAAATTCTTTTAATATCTCACTGGTATTATATGAAATATTATTTTACACTTTACTCTGATAAGTATTGCTTATGATTTATATGCAATGAATTTAAGTAGTAATGGGGTTAGCGTTAAATTGCTATTCGTTCTCTTTTGCATGGGTGGAGAAAATATCTATAATAATAATGAGTGTTCGTATTATCATATATATTTTAATATCTTACTGTTTAAATATAATTTTTACATTGATCTTCCCCTTTCACAAGGCCTAATGTATATGGTTATAGTGACACAGATTATGCGTATGAGTGGAGAAGATAACGGTTAATCCTAGGTTAAGACTGTATTGATCGGGGATGCAACATCTTGGGAAGTTTGTTCCAGAACTCAATGGTTCCTGGGAAGAAGCTGCTCGCGAAATGAATACGAAGGGAATAAGGGTGTTTCTCTATAATGTGCGTGGCATGAATTGTCATAAAACTTAGTAAGGGTGAAACTGCGGTTCATCTGAGCACTCTCCATGGAAATAGGAATAAGGCGGCGAGATGTTTCAAACACCTCGTCTGTGAGAAAGTGGAGGTAGGGTGAAAAATCATTCGTCACCCAAAAGGTTGGGGAGACGCTTCTGGACTATAGAGACTAAAAAGCGACGATTGATCAGCTTGAGTATATATCTATGGCAGTAGTACACGTTTTTCAGCCAGAACTGTCTCTTGTAGGGGTAGACATTTTCAGGAGGAGTCAGGTCTTGTTGAGGGGTACCCAGAACCTTCCATTCTTCCCACATCTTTAGAAAAAGATTTTATGTATGACATCCACTTGAGTTCCGGGTTTAGTTTAAGATCCAATAGGTTCCTAAGGCATTCGACCTGATTGGGGAAAGTACTTGGTCCGATCAGCGATGATGTAATATTATTAGATTTTGTTTTTATATATTAATTTGCGTTGTTCTTTTTCATTAGCAGCATATCAAACTCTATAGGTTATGTAGTTCCGAAATTTAAATATTTTGAACGAATTATTATTTTATTTTATAATGCTTTTCGTGATACAAGCCTTAATAATGTGTGGATTAATGGAAAGGTATTTGTAAGTAAGTAAATTTAACGCACCCAACTGGAACTGAAACTCGACTCTCCAAACAACAATTCATTATATCATTATTCCACCATCTGCACATGCAAGCTTATAGCATCTGTATTCCCAAGTTGTCACCCAGGTAGGTAATGACCAGGCTCGACATTGCTCAACTTCAATGACCATACGGGTACCACTGTTTCAACGTGTTGCGACCGTAAACATTGATATACTAAGTCCCAAAGTAGATTAGTGCATTGACTAAAACACCCTTTTATAGCTAAATGATGACGAAATCCATAAGTCAGTGTAACTATTAACATCTGCCAGATTCCAATAACCTTTTCTTAAACTTTTCAGTTCTTCTAAGTGAAAGTTGTACGACACAAAATTATTAAAATTTAAATTAAATATTAAATAAACTCTTCAAAATTAGTACTATTATGTTACATTATTTTCTTATTATATCGTAATTTAAAAAAAAACAGTATAATGATATTTGGGAGATGAAAGAAATTTGTGTATGGAAATTTATCAGCCTTTCTCAGCCTTTTTTATACTTATGGAACACCTGAAATAGTTTTCATGTCACTGTGGAACTGCTGCATAAAAATTATAATATACCATTATAGATATGCATCTCTTGGTAAACATATATGAACACAGTCGGCTTTTCGACGTGGTGTAATGATTCGCAATTTTCTTTTGCAAGATAATTTTTCGCAGGTTAGTCAGTTTCCTCCAGGCTGGGTGCTCCATAGTCCCCCCTTGTGCCAAATCTAAGCTATGCTTAGAAAACTACCATGCATACTGTATTTGAGCGAATCATTTAATGTACCCAAAGTCGTCAAGAATAGCTCCTATACACTAGCCAATGAAGGCACTTTAACACAGACAATTTATAGACATCGTAAATACATTCACTGTGATAATTATTTTAAATCATATAAAAGATTGGTGACTTTATTATAATAACCATGGATAATCCAAAAATATGCCGTACGTATATAGTAAAATTATGAAAATGAAATTAAACAAAAATTACCCAGAAATGTATTAGCCTATTTATCACTGTTTCTTGGGGAACCCCTACAGATATTACTAATAATCACCCAATTCAAGGGCAGGAAGCCACTCAATGTAGAGTGTAAGAAAAAGCAATAAGGGAAGTTCATATGGCTAAGATATAACGGTTAACCCTAGACTTGAAGATATGAAGATTGTAGTGATTGGGAAAACATCCTATCGGGAATCTGTTCTAGAAAGCAGTTCTTGCGAAGAAGTTGTCCGAGTGGAAGTTACTTCTTACTGATGGTAATGATTCATCCTTGTGCGCATGGTACGTTGGGTCCCAGTTGCAAATATCCGGGCTAGGGCGACTAATGATCTGAGACGCATCAGAATAAGTGCCGTGAAAACAGCGATAGAGTAGCGAGAGGCTTGCGCTGTTTCTTCTGTGGGGAAAAGTGTTGTAGGGTGAACACAACGAAAGGCTGCGTAGGCGCTTTTGAATTGTATCGTGGATTTTTCAGGCGAGATGTTTTATATCAATGTTCACTCTGTTCAATGCCCATGAGCCACTCAATGTAGAGGGTTACTGTGTGATATTGTATGAGCATATGAAAAGGCAAGAAGTGAAATTCTATGCAGTAAAATTAACGGTTACCCATCGCCTTAAATGGTGAAGATTGTAATGTTAAAATAACTCTCCTGTTTCTGCTTCACAACGCAGCAGTTCTTGGACAAAAGCTGTCTGAATAGAATTTACTTCTTACTCTTGGAATTCAAAGGAAATAGAGGATGATTCACACTTGTATGCGATTCATGGTGGGTCCCAATTTTAAAAGTTACGCGTGGTAGAACTAAGGATATTACTACACATATTTGACCAGAAATGCTTACATGGTTTTGATCAATCGGTCTGTGAAATTGCAGAGAGTAATCTTTGCCGTATTGATTTTCTAAGCGTGACTTAGATGCGGCACATAGCCTAAAGTATAGGGCACCCAGTGAGGATCGAGCTTACTATTCAATTGCAATTGTTTTAGCGAGACCAGCTTGCTAACCATTATACCACAACTAGGCACCCAAATCTGCCCTGTATGACCGACGCATTCACAATGATTGGGTCAAGTCCAATGCGGTACATTTCTAGGTAAAATTATTAGGTTGGTTCAAAAATAATGACGTAATAATGTCGTTTTTTGACGTATTTTTTAACGTCAAAAAACGACATTCTTACGTCATTATTTTTGCACCAACCTAATATTTTATACATATCTTATATGTAACAGTATAGTCTCGCTTCTCCCTAAGATTCTTTCAGATTCTTCGCTTTACTCTTCAGAATTGTTTCTAGCACTGACACAAACATTGGTATCTGGCATCTCTTTGTCTGTTCTATGACTATTTTCATTACAATTATTTAAATGAAATCTTCTCCTCGGTACATAGACCGTATGAATTTAGTAGATTGTCAAGCAGGTTTCATCGTTTTAAAATAGTGGAAAAGTCTTGAAATAGCTAGGTGTAGCCGTAAGTTATTAGGTTTGTGCAAAAATAATGACGTAAGAATGTCGTTTTTTGACGTATTTTTAACGTCAAAAAACGACATTCTTACGTCATTATTTTTGCACCAAACTAATATAATATTCTAATAGGTCTTTCCTACTATTTACCAATAGCTGGGAGGTGGGAGAAGAAAAGTATTCATATTTTTCCCACGGTTATTAGCACGTAAGTCAATGTAATGGATTCTGACGATATGTAACTTTAATATAGGATTTTTCCAATTGATTGACAACAATGCATTCTTGTTATAACATGAATAAACGTTTAATTTTATGGATTTGCTTTTTTCTTTTTTGTCTATGTCGCTTATGTTGCTTCCCAAGGAATAATTGGATTTTGACGTATGAATAATGTTTCTGCATAATCGCGAATTTTATCAAATCTACAAAAATTAACTTATCATTGGCCTGTATGGTTTGATTTATGATTGCTGCCGAAAATGTCATGTCTTTGTTATATGTAATTCATTTAGAATACTCAAAGAACGTTAAAAAGGCCTTCGTGACGAGAATGTCATTAATCCAGCTTCCGGAAAATTAATCGTGCCAGAAACCAAACATTGGATAGTGGGGAGCATTCCTTATACCAGAAACGACGGCTACAATATTATTTGCCTCTTTCATAGCAATATTTGAAAAGAGAAGACTGATGCAAAAAGCAAGTCGAGAAGAAATTTCCAAGGCATCATTTTCTTTTATAATACCGAAAATGAGAATAATACTATTTTTTTAAATATATATATAAAGGTTATCATTACCTTCAAGCCGTCAATAGGAGTCGACAGCTTTGCCTATGGTTCGCTTCACACTCATCGCCGAACAGGAGCAGCAGCTTCCTGTTTTCATTGGGTTTCCGGTTCCTTCTAAAATATTTTGTTCTTTTTTTTAATGCTAGTAGCCTATTGTGTCTTAGTGGCATTATTACCTTGGTTGGTTGAATTGATTTAAAAAAATGACTAGCAGATCGTATAGGAATATGCCTATCTAGATTGGGCGGCTAGCTAATCATCGTTGCAGACGCCTGCTCAGGTAAA